CCCACGTTCCGATCGCGAGGAAAATAACTCTGCGATCCAGGGCTGTTCAGCGAGCTGTGCGAGTGGTGGAGATCGTGTAAACTGATATAGATATATATATATATATTTTATACACACGTACCTTTATTTATAAGGGGATTAGTTTTTGAAGGATTTTTCTGTGTGAGTGGACTTTTGCTTTGGTTTCTTGTCTTTGGGCTGCCGGCTTGCAATTCAGATATGAATTCATTGCGAGATTCCCCCTGCTCACTTCAAGACCTTGCTGCACATGATGAGATGTCTTCTGGGTCTTGTCGTCTCAGCGCAGCCACTGCAGCAGTCGGTACATCAGTAGTCAGTCAATCGCAAGAAATCGCAAGAAGGTGCTGTTTCCATCTCTGTAGGGCCATAAATCAAAAGTTGTTTCAAAAGGCGCCCCTTATTGCTATTACTTTGACTGTTCCTATTATTGTCGCTGTCATCGTTACTACTATGTTTATCACGATTACTCTTGCTGCATTTTCCATTTTTCTGAGTATTGCACCTCTATTGCTATGTTAGCTCTTATTGTTATTTGCGTTACAAACACGATTATTCTTGCTGTTGCTTGTTTCTCTCATTCCAACCCCTCCCCCCCAAGAGCCCAAGAAAAGTGGGTCCCCCAACATCACCGCCCCAGAGTGTTGCGACGCTGGTTGGACAGCAGAAAAACAAACGGCACGCACAAAGACAGCAATAATTCCGATTTAATTCCCGAGCCTGCTTGTAATAGTGTGCGATTTAGCCATGCACTGATGCACTTCCCATCTTGGCAAGATTCTTACCAGTCTCGACATGTCGTGAGTGCCTGGAATGCCAGTCAATCTGTGGGACTCACTTCAGCACAGGGCTTGCGCACCTGAGACTTCCAGTCATTACTATATCTTGGTCGTAGCTTGGCACAGGGTTCAAGATGAATCTGGGCCCTGTCACTTTTGCTCCTACGTGGCCAGGGTTTGACCCCAAGCTTACACAGTTTCGCATAGCGAAGTGCTCCGTCTCATCAAGTTTCTAAGGCTGGCTGTGCATCAATGCTACAGCCTTTATCTGGCAAGCCTGGCCGAAAACTAAATTCTAAACACGAGAAGCAAAGGAGCATCGTGTATACCACCACATCCAATTTCAAGGGCCGAGAACTTTGAAAGCACAAGAGGATCAAAGAGGATCCTTGCATGCCGCGGTGGACAAGCAGACCAGGACGACACTCCGAGACCACGCCAAGGCGCCCCAAATTGCAGTCATTTTAGGATTCCAGGACCACTGCCACAGTCACAGGGCTGGGACGGCAGCGCGGGTGGGGACCGTAGCGACTGCTGATTCCAAAATTGACTATGAAGACATCGAGATGACATTGTGGTACTGCCAATATTGGAAAGGTTTCGAGCGCTTTGCAATCGAAAGTGCCGGGCACCCCAAAGCGGGCTCGGGAACCGTGGGCGAGCGCGATATTCATGGAATTGGGCAGCGCTCAAGTCCTCCAGTTTGCGACAGAACCACGATTCTCTACCAAACTGCACACCGCTCCACAGCGGAAGCCGCGGAACTGCTTGAGATGCTCTCCTTACCCCTTGCCCTGAACAAGTACTTAAGTTTATATGCAAATTTGACATTTGCTCGCTTGGGGAAAAACAGCCATGAATTAATATGGCCGCCAACATAGTTGTTGAGATACAGAAGGCAAAGGAGACAGGAATGCAAGAAGGATGCTGCACCTTTGCACGGGCATCCCTTGGATCTAAATGCAATGCATAAGCTGCTTTGCGCGGATAGTTTCGTTTCAATGCTAAAATTCCTTACGAGTAGGTGGGCCTTTCCATAGCTTCAGGAGCGTTTTCCTGTGATGGGCACCGGCCGGTGGATGACCCTGCGGGTGCTGGTGCAGCCTGCCAGCCTTGTCGGCGGGGGCTGTAAAGTGGCGTCTCTGTCAAGGTGTTCAGGGCTTTTGCTAGAAGGTTGAAGGTTGGAATGCTTGTTCAGGTGCCACATAGACGTGGTACCACTACGAAGGCGTAACTTGATGTCGGATCTGAGTCGGTATACTACTCCGTGGTACAGCATGTCTTGAGGTCGCATGTTCAGGAGTCAGGGTAAGCAATCCCGCAGCCGTGCAAACAGCTTGGCTCAATGAGATGGTTGCAGCAGTTGTAGCCAACTCGATGGCCCACATGCTTGACTCGCGGCTTGCATCTGCGTTGTGCTGCTTTTTTGTCGCCATAACAGTTGTATTCACTGTGTTTAGCTGGGATGACCTCGTCGGCAAGCTGCCAACGAGTGTGATGGGCCTGAGACTTTATGATCAAGGTACGCCGACCACAACGCTGCACACGCCACAGACGTCCGGAGATCCTGCACTGTGCAACGCCTCCTGTCTGTCCATTCGTCCGCTAAAGGCCTGGAAGCCTTTTCTTAATATGCATGTCATGACGAAGGTGCAAGTGCATTGGTCCGGGAACGGAACAAGTGATGTGAAGGAGGTCATGGTGGATGAAGGAGTTAAAATCAAGATCGATGGGCATTTCTCGTTCAAGACTGCCCCTAATGTCTTTGCTTGGATCCGCTCGGAGGCTGGAGACATTTTGTATGCTGAGCTTGGCAAACCTAGGGTGCGTACAACTGAGATTGAGGGGTGGAATGTGTTCTTCAAAATCATGGATCCCGGCAGGTATATGGTTTATCTTTTTGCTGTGACGCCACCTCCACGCGCCAACCGGCTAGAACCTAGAGAATACAGGATCGAGGCCCTGAGTGCCAAACCCCAAGCGCTGCAGGTATCTCAGTTGAGCCCTGATGGTAGCGTGTTAACTTCCTTTGATGCGAGCCGTATTCCCAAGCGCCACTGTCAACTGGGTCTGGACGAGATGAGGGGACGATGGGTTCGCAGCACCGTGGTCAGCGAGGCATCTAGATGCCTCAGCTTAGGGTGCCCAAGGGATGGTTGGACATACGTCTCAAGGACATGCTACTGGAACGTGTTGAGCAAAGCAGACACCTACAGGCTCCTGGAGATGATCGAGGGAGAGCCTGGGAGGCCTCTTTCCCTGATTGCGGCAGGGAGTTCTGTTCTCCGCGGGAGCCTGCAAAGTTTGCTGGACGCCTTGGTTCCGAACGCTTGGCAGAGTTTCGCCGGAGTGAAAAGCATTCCAGGCGTGGGCACGACCGTTAAATGCTGGGGTTGGCTGGAATATGAGGTCGACAGGAAGCTCCATCTAGCCTTCCATGACTGGCGCCTGCCCGGCTACGAGCAGTCTGATCGCAATTGGGCTTCAGCAAGGATTCTGAGAACACTGAAGGAGAATCATGGGATTGTTGTTATCGAGCTTGGCTTCAACATGCATTCCGACCAATCGCTCTTTGATAGTGAGCTGGAATCTTTCTGGAGCCCTATTTTCCAGGAGGCGCTGCCGACTCTGACAGGGAAAGTCATCTTGTTCGCAGGCCTCTACAGCCCTATGAACTTTCCGGTTTGCGTTCAAACGAAGTGTGCCATCAGTTGGGGGCGAGTTGCATGGGCCCAGCAGAGTGTCGAGAAGCTAGTCGCGTCCTGGCCTAACAAGACAAGAGAGGCTTCCCAAGGGAAGCTCTTGGTTATAGACCCTGCGCCTATGGCACTGGCCATGTTCTTTGATGGCGAGACAATAATGGGTCAAGACATGTATGGCTCCCAACACTGGCATCGCTACGAGTACTCGCAAAAGCCCGGAAGGAAGGTCTTCGGGACCGTCGCTGACGTGCTTGGTCAACTCTTCCTCTCGGAGCTCCTTCGAGGCAGGGAGCAAAACAAACGAAAAGGCCTAGGCCTCTCAAGTCGGATGGAAAAAACAGAAACGACGAGGGCCTGTGCGCAGTGCCCAGAAAAAAGCTGCTGCCCGTGGCGGCCCGTACCGTTGGAGTTAAAGTACAGCCTCGCAAAGGTCGAGAGCCCACCACAGTTGGACAACTGGGCCCAGTTGCCCCTTGAAGGCTGTGGCAGAATGGATTCAAAGCGTTCGGCTCGATAAAAGCAGGAATGCGACGCCTGCAACTTGTCGTCCTGTAGGCGTGGCTCAGCACTAGGATGTGTGCTTGGATGTTCGTAGCGAGCAACATGCCGGAGGCCCTAAATGCAGAATCACCCTTTCAGACCCACAGGCCCCGACCTTCCTCAAAAGGAAAGCACATCGACCCTTCGTGCACGGGCTCCCATACCTCTTCTGCCAGGACCCCAACATGATCGGCGAGTCCCGCTTCGATCTCCAGGCATAGGAAACAGTGCGAGAGCCGCCGGGAGGAGTGTCAGTTTTTCACGCTTGAGGCTTTCATCTCGCAGCAGAGGGACGGTCGGAGACCCGCTGCAAAGACGGCTTCCGCTTGTCGCAGCTACCTGGATTTGGAGACAGTTCTCGGGCTTTCTGAGGCCAAAAGCAAGCCTCGTCTCTGCTTCGTGGTGAAGCCCTGGTCCAGACCCGACATCAACGAGGGACTTGTCTGCCCGCGACATTTTCGTCCATGTGCATGCTCCAAAGGTCGGAACGATCTGGGCCTCCGTTCAGCCACTCTCTTCGCCTTCGCGTGCCAAGACGGCAGCATCTCGGCCACACTCGGTGCCCGTGTTTTAGTTCGACTCACTGCCCCAGTGCATGGAACGCAAACTGGGGTCTTGGAGCTCAGCTGAGGGTGAAGCTCCGACGCTGAGCCAGCAGCTGCAAATCTTGAGTCGGAGTCCAAGAATGTCTCGCTCCAGCGAAAGGCTTCGGGTCTAACTGCAGAGGTTTGGAAGGCAGAAGTTCGGTTACTTGTAGTGAGAAGCATCCTGCAGTTGCCGGGGAGCTGAATGCACGCACCTGCAATCTGAGGGCAAGGCTCGTCATCATCACAGTCTCCTGGCTCCAAGATGTCCAACGGATCGCAGCTGCGCTCGCCGGGAAGGTTCGATAATTCAGAGAACTTAAAAACACTGTCGAACTTCACGTCCCGGGGATGCACATCCTGGTTGGCCGAGCAATCGAGGCCTGTAAGAGGTTCCGCAGGCACGGTTGATGCATGGCAGGCGCCTCGGCTGCATTGCCTTTCCTTCGCGCGCTCAGGCCTCAGCCTCCAGGTGTCTTTCGCAGCCATCCTCAGTTTCCCCGGCCAGCTTTGCTTGTTAGGCAGGTCAGAGGAGTCCTATCCCCTGTGGAGGCAGGTCAGCTGAAGACTTCGGAACGTAGCGACATCACGGCCTGGCGGCGTCGCGTCTTCTTTGTCAGGCTCTGCTCCTCGGGTCTCCAGTCCCAGCCCGGTGATGCGAAGCAACACTTTGCTCGAGGATCCGCTCCCATCCCCCGATCCCCAGGTGCAGCTCGAAAGCCTGGAAACTGACGATCAGAGAAACTTCAAGAGGGCTGCATCGATTTCCGTTTCGCCATCTGCCAAAGCGACTACAAGACCGTGCAAGCATGTGCAATCGATAACCCCGGTGAGCAAGTTTTGGGCCAGCCTAATATGGCACTGTCATCACGTCCTCTTATCCCTCTCATCTTGTTTTTCGGCGCCCAGGATTCAGGGCTTTGGCACGTGTCGACAAGACATCCATGATCATCCGTGCGTCATTGATCTTTTGTGTGTAGGGGACATAGGCTTATCGAACACATCAAAGAGAGAGGGACTTCAAGGGTTCCGAAGCATTGGTAGGAAAAGTTTCACGGCTTGGCTGCTGCATGCTGCAGATTTGGGAAGTTTTGATCAGAGATCCAGGGTTGAACTCTTTTGAGCCTATTAGGTTGGGGCTCTCTGCTATGCCCGAAGCGCATGTCAGTTTTCGCCATCACGTTTGGCCTGGGTGGACGTAGTGGTCGGCAATGACGGGGAGCGGAGGAAACCGGTTACAGTACCAGGACAAGATGTCCGAATGTGGACATATGGACCAGATATGACCAGAAACTCCATGCCTGCGCATCTTCTCTCTTCGACACCACCGCATTCCGAGCGAGCCGCGCAGCCAAAGAGCCTAGAGGGGCGATTGGGTGGAAACAGTGGTTGGCCGCGGGGAGATGAACAAACATTAGGGGGTCAGGAAATGATGTCGGGGGGGTGTACAAGGGAGTCCAGGATCCAAATATTTGGGGGTCTCCTGCTTCCATGTTTTCATGTCGCGGTTGCAAGGAGCGGCGGCCAGCACCACTCGGTCCGGCGGTTTTAACAGCCGCTGGGACGCCCCAGGCGCGAAAGCTCTGGTCGCAGCCGCAAGGGCGCAGAGCGCAGAGCTCTTGAAGGGCAGCATTTCTTGAAAACATACTCTTGGTGCAGGCAAGCGCCAGTGGAACGCCGGGAACCTCTCGTTTTAAGGACCGCTTCCCACGCTTCCTCGTTTCTTGGAACGTATGCCTCGGAACTGCTTCAGACCATTTTGGTTTTGCCTCTCGACCTCTTCGCCTCTGATGCCCTGAGTCTGTGAGGCGAACTCGGACCTCGACAGCGCCAGGCACTCCCAGATCTCAGGACACTCCTTGCTGCTGCCGGCTTCTTTTGGCGGGCCGGTCCTTCATTTCCCTCCCCCTTGGCCGTCCTTCCGAACTTACAGAGTGTCTGAGTTCCCTTTGTTTTGTAGTGCTTGCGGCACCATATGTCCTGTCCAAAACATACTTGCCCAAAAAGCGCCGAAGAAAAACTGACTCTTCCCTTAGTGCTCACACTTGACCAAACGGCTAGCTGCCTTGCAGGTGCCAACAATTCCCATGCCAACATCACAGACATAGAATTCCAAGAGCATGGAGTAATAAACCGACACTTGCCGCTGAAAGGCTTTGCCGTAGTCTGCAACGAGCAGGAAAGGTCAAGGCTCTTTACATGAAATGTATATCTTCACATCGGGGGCAGGAGATGCAGTGGCAGCTACTTCAGAACCTTGCTGAGGCTGAGAGCCAGATAAAACACCACAGTAGCACACAGACTGCTAGATTGCAGCAACGTCACTCGCTATTGACTGAGACGTTTCCCTCGAAGTGGAAGCCTTCTGCCCTGTGAGATCCTTAGGAGCGAGCCCTGCATCAGCCTCCACGGCAAGGGCGAGCCCGAACGCTCCGCGCCCCGCTAGGCCTCAGTTTAGGATTCTTTGGGAAATTTCAGTAAATAAATCAGGCAACGAGACTTGAAGCTCTGCGATCCCTAGAGCCCTAGATGCTGACTTTCTCGCCGTTTAGTCGTAGTGTGTGCAGGTCGCGGTCGACCCTTTCTGCTGGCTCCGAGAAGTCACCAGGCGCGCCAGCAGCGTCTTCTATTGTTTCCGAAGGTCTGAACAACTTTCAGGGATTGCAAAGTTTGCGAAGGTCCGATTCGGCAGGTCTCGCTTGATTCAACCTTGTGACGCAGGATCGGCCTTTATTTCAGATCAGCTTTTTCCTGTACCGATTCTGCCTTTTCCCTTCTTCGCTTGCAGTCTAACCGCAAGCCCAGTGTCTATGAACCAGTGCTTATGGCATTTACATTGATGGGAATTGGAACCATGCCGACTTTCCCTCGAACTGCCAGCTCCGCAGACGAGGCTCCAGGCTGAACTTCACGGAGAAGGCCCAAAGAGACTTGGCCCGGCCCTCGGACGAGCGGAAGTGAAGACCGTGCTGCCGTGCCCTGAGCCGTGAGTTCACGGGCGCAGTCCTCTAAATTTTGACTCACACGAGAGGAGGACCGCGATCCAGTTGTAGGAGACTCGTGCCCTTTCGTGTTCGCACCATGGTATCCTCACCTGGCCCTGCGCAGCCTATCGCAGCCTCTTTCTTGCCCTTTTCAGGTGGAGCTCATGCGGAGCAAGGATCGGCTAAGGGCATATGCGGAGAGGCCCTTCAAGGCACGGCCGGGGTGCTGGTGGAATCCGGTCTCCTTACCGATTGAGGGCGGCACCTCGCCTCTTCGCAGGCCGGGCGCACGTTGCTGGCTGGAAATCGGCTGGGCTTCGAGGAGTCTTCCTTGGCCTGCAAGTCAGGATTCCCGTCGTGGTGAGAAAAGTTCAAGCTGTTCTGAACCTGGACCGTTGCTGCACCAATGCAAAGTGGGTCAAGCGACGGTGGAGCTGATGGTGGGTGCTGAGACCTCCCTCCTCGGATTTACCGAGAGGTCAGTAACCGTTGCAGTGCCATTACTGCTGGTCGTGTCGCCGTAGTAGATGTCATTTGCATTCTCTGTGGCTGTGGCTGCAGCTGCGGTGGCTGCTGTTGTTGTTGGATCCTGCTGCACGGTACTGATCATGACAATCATGACGAGATGATGAACACAGCGATGGACGGTTTCATAATTTTGCATGAAGTTGGTACTTGCCGATTGACAGTTCCAAGTGGGCCAGGACTTTCAGCAGGCTCTGCGGGAACTGCTCCAGGCTTGGAAATGTCCAAAGATCTGTGTGTTGGTTCCTTGGAGCCTTTTGCTCTGCAGGAGCTTCACATCAGCGTGCCAGGAGACAAGCAGATGCAGGCCAAGAGCTTGTGAGCCTGAGCTCGATGCCTCCTGCAGAATACTACAGTTACTACGGTCACTTCGGGCAGCCGATCGGCCGGTTTCGTATTCGACACAGGCACTCTTTGACAAGCACCGGGGCGAGAACGAAGGCACAGAGGGCTTGGCCCAAAGGGAATCGGGAACTTTCTTTCTGCTACGAGGGTCGGAGGAGAGGCATCGGACATGGACCTTCCAAGCGAAATCCGGAGGCGTCAGCTCTGAGGACTTCGAGGCTCTTCTCTTCCGTCTCTTGTTCGGGCCTTTGCTCGGTGGCACTCTCGAGTTCAGGGTGTCTCGTAGAGCTTACGAAATTCCTGCTGCAACTTTGCAACAGTGGCAGTTTCCCGAACGATGTTGGACAGGGTGTCATTCCACTTGAAGCTCGGCTTAACACGGAGAGCTTTGTCATATCAATTCTACAGATCACGCTCACCTGCAGAAGGCACTCTTGCCCCAGCAAGCCCTGCTCGTAGAAATACTAGCTTCGCCTTGCCTTCAGCTCGCCAAGTCCGCCACCCCCTTCCCGAGGCTCAGCGTTTGAAGTGCTCATATCCAGCTTGCGATCTTCACCTTCTACCAACCCCTCCGGCTGACCTCTCCTGTGTGCATATCATTAGAAGACCCAGGTGCTTCCTCCGGGCCTCCGAGGAAGTTCGAGTGAATCCTGGCGCCGATGCCCGCTCCTGCTCGGAGGAGCGGCAAAGTGAGACCCATACGGCCCATACGCCTTGCTCCTTTCGCCGCTCGCTGCATCGCTTCAGGAGAGGGACAAGCGGTGGAGGCAAGAGTTCATCCAGAAGAACCCACAGAGGCCCGTGCTGGAGGGGTGGTACGAGTCGAACCACGATGAATTCCAGCTTCAAGTCGCAGCCTTCAAGCTTCTCACCCGTGCAGGTTTCACGACGTGTACGAGGCATGGCTAGGGTGTGGTGCTAGACCAATATCGCCTCACGGTTGTTTTCAATAGCCATCGCCACATCTTTGACTGTCATGATGAGAGCTTCGTGCATGGCCGACGATGTTCGTCCATAATGGCTCGGCAGACAAGCAGACTCACGATCTTCACATTCTCGATTCCCTTGCCTCAAGGTGCAGCGGCAGCTGGGAAAGGGCTCTTTTGGCACAGTGTACCTAGTCTCACACAGGCGGCTGGTACGGGTGTCCATGCTGGGGTGCATGTGGGATGCACTGCTGGTTTGCGTGGCTGCCAGGACACAGGTTGACCAAAACAAGGAGAAGCGAGACGACGCCTCACTGCAGCAGTGCTGGTGTCCATGCTGGTGGCCTCATGCCCCATGCCACTGCACGTCGCTGTGTAGACTCAGGTTCGAGTCTGCAAGATCATCAGCAAGCTCAAGGCAAAGCGAGACCCACGCCATCCCGTAAGATGTAGTGGCATTTTTCGCCTTCAGTCGGGCGCGGCAGGCTTGTACGTTTGCAGCAGAGACTGCACGTTGCTGGCCAGGCTAAGGAAGCCAAAACATCGGAAGCCAAGGCTCCCTGGGCCACGGCGTGCTGAGTGTTGTCGATGCTACAGCTGCCGAGAACGACGTGAGAGTTGCGGCTGCACAGGTCCGCGAGGAGTTTGCTGTGCTCAAACAGCTCGACCATCCCCACGTCCTCAGAATATTTGAGGACATGTGAGGTTTGTCTGTCGGTGTTCCCGCTGAAGCAGACTGTAGCTGCAGGACTTTGAGGATGACGAGAACTTTTACCTTGTTATGGACCGCTCGACGAAAAGTTCTAGTCTCGACCGATGGCAATCATCCGCAGTGAAGCCAAAGAAGCGGAACCTTGCAGGAGCAATGTCGGGGTGGCGATCTCGGGGCATACGCCGCGCTCTCGGCGTGCAGCAGTGCATCATGCCGCATGTTAGACTCGTATGCTGAACACGAAGCAACGCAGGTCAAGCGTTTGGAGCCCATGGATGCCTACTCCTATGAGTTCTGGGTTTCGAAGGCCACCGTCGTTATCGGCAGCACGTTGCGTCGTGTATCCCATCTTCCATTAACCAGAGCTGTTTACTGGCTGCGGTTACGTGCGCCTTGCGTATGGCAGAGGTGATGCAGCACACACTGTCGGCGATCGCCTACTGCCACTCGAAGGCCGTGATTCACAAGGAGAGTTTGGCAAGCACACGCCTGTCGGTGCCACCTGGTGGCATCATGTGAACCTTGGAGCCTTAGAGGCTAAGGAGTCCACCTTTGCCTTGGATCTTCTTTTCCCGTTTTCGAAGGACCTCAAGCCTGAGAATGTTATGCTCTCCACGACTCGGGAGCCGAAATGCTGCTGTGGTTTCTGAGTTCAGAAAAAGCAGACTTGGCTCTGCAAATGTTGTGGAGCGGATTGAGTGTAGCTCATCAGGACACCCCAGTTGCACAGATGCATGTTGCTGCTTGTCTGCAAACGGTGGTTCCTCTTGCTCTGACTGCCGAGCTCTCTCAAGTTGCAGCCGGTGTCAACCAAGTAAACATGAAGTAGTTGGGGATCTGCCGTCCTCGCGTCTCTGGAGTGCAGCTGTACCAGGTCGTGGTCGACTTCGGTTTGGCGGAGGCCATCCACCATGACAAAATCAGACGGGTTACTTGCGCACTGTAGCTTTAATCGAAGGTCTTTGCAAACTCCACGGACCGCAGTGATGTGGTGCCGGGCGCCACAGTCTGGAAAAACTCGGCCGACAGCCAGAGGAAGCAGAGCAATGCCTATTCAACAGAGAGCTGACGTATTCGCGCCAGCATTTGTTGAATGCGGGTTGTAGACGGGTCGGGTCACGCTAGGTACATGATGGTACATGGTCGCGGGTACACCGCGGACGTGTGCATTGATGGGGTCCTTTGTGCTCTTGCCCCTGCATTGGGGTATGACAGGGTTGATGTACCATTCGGGGGTTCCCTGGTTCCGAATGGGTTGTGATGACGTGGACGGCTCGAGTCGTCGCTCCTTCCGGCCAGCTCGGAACCTGTCATGATGGTGCGGGCTGCGTGCTTGCGATCGCTTCCGTTGCACAAACGGATTCGGGCTCGTCGGTCGAAAGCATAGGGTGGCACTTGCAACTGGGTTGTGCCGATGGCCCAGGGACATAGCCAGCGGTTCGGTTTGCTGTGTCGTCTGGCTTTAGACACCGGTCCCGTTGAACAAGTAAGAACAGTCTCTCGCATGTGTGCAAGTCGATCATCCGACGCTGGCAACGCGTCGGGCAGCTGGCCTTATGCAAACATCGCTCTTCAGTTGCACACGCCTGCGTGGTTGCGGCCGATGGACCGATGGATATGACGCCTGGGAGTGGGTCTATGAGTTGCACGGGGGTTGCACGGCGAGTGCACATTGGCTCGGCGAACCCAGGCATCGCACACGCCTCGTTTCATGTCACGACTAGGCGAATGTCAAGAGCTCAGGCATTGTCAGTAATGACGCAAAAGCAGCGACGGGATCAAGAGCTCAACGAATCAAGCTGCACGGCCCAAGCCTGGAATCCCGCACCTTGAAGGCCGGCAGAAGGTGCATGGCTTCAATCAAATTCAAGCTGAGACAGTCATTTAACTGCCAAGATACAACGTGAGGCATGGGTGTACCTGGTCGTGAGATACACACTTCGCCAAGCCCAAACATCTACAAATTGTCTCAAGCTTCAGCGTCGATGTTCGAAAAAAGTTGGCCGACCGAGGTCGGGCACTCCGCCGTACATGGCCCCCGAGGCACACATGGCAGGATCTTCATCTCTCGACTGGTCATGCAGTCATGCAGTGTACGGTCAGAGTGTTCATGATGTTCGTGCTTGTGCGCATGTACCTGTCCAGGTCTGGCAGGGCAACTTCAGCAAGAGCTGCGACGTGTGGCACGGTACTCGCAGCTGCGGTACAACTACCGTAGCGATCTCAAGGTGTTGAACTCGGTCCCTGTTCTCTCAGGTCAGCTGGCTGCATGCTGTTCTTCCTGTTGTCTGGACGCTTGCCCTTCATCGCAGCCACTGTAAAGGACGCCGATCTGACTGAGCTGGAACGGGTCGCGCAGAACAGACGTAGCTCTTGTGAGGAGTTTCCCAAGGCTGTTCAGCAAGAGCCAGACTGGGCTCCGGCCTTGGCCCACAGCTCCCGCCTGCTGAATTACCCAAGCGACTGGCTTTCCCAGAGAGCGCAGCGATCATTGCATCGCAGGGCGGGGGTATTATTCATCACTGAAGGTGTCAAAGAATGGGACTCCTCACAAGCGCGAAGTAGCCATCTCTTAAAAAGTAGTTGAGGCTTTTCTGAGCGACAGCGAACCCTATTCGTTCGGTGCTCATGAATTCTTCCATGTGTTCAGCGTTCGATGCCCTCTCAAGAAATCATCGCCAAAGCCGTAGCAGAAGGCTTGCTAGGAACGAAGATATCGTGTCCGCACTCTCTTCGCGGCTGAAAGAAGCTCTTGCTGCTCGTGTGTGAGCTCGTCATGCTTCCTCCCCGACTTAGGCCGCAATGGGCGGAGCCACCCAGGAAGCGCAGCAGATCTGCAGGAAAGACCGACTTTTTTCAGCAACATGTGACCAAGTAGTTCCACCGAGTAAGCTGCATTGGAGGCAGATGCTCCAGAAGATGGAGCATCAGCGGCCGACTGCACAGACTTGTTTGAAGGACAGGTGAGCCCTCACTGCAGCTGGTTCTTGTGCATTCGCAGCACTGCATCCTGCAGACTATTGTGGCTCGTTTAATATAGCTCCATGCTCAGCTGGGCTGCCCTTCCCCTGCTGAGCGTCCTCGCAACAAGCGCACTGCGCCAGTCGGCGTTAATCATGAGTCAGTTGGCAAGCCGTTGACCATCGACGACAGCTCAGCTGTGGAACGTATAGTGTGGGGCATGGCTTTTCTCCTGCATGAGGTGTTCAGGATTGGGACAGCAACCCCAGCAGTGGAAGGGTCCAACTCTGCATCAGAGGCGTGCACACATTTCTCAGGCCAGCAGGACGGATGGCCATTCGGTTTAGATTATGCAAAGATTTGGGATCCCTGGAAAGGTTCACAGACGAAGGTTGCTTTCAGCACCTGACATGGAGAGGCCGCTACCGCTCTGCAGCCAGACGGCATACAGATTTTGCTGAGACTGCTTGGACGCTGAACAGTTGAGGAAGAAGACGCCGCAAACTTCGAGAAGAAGGCTTGTCCACTGGCCGATGCTCAGCGTGTTTATTCAGAGCACATGGTAGAATCGTAGCGGCGGACAGTGGAGATGCCAATGCCTAGTGCGGTGCCTGAAATGCTGGGTCCGCTTGATATTTAGATGAGAGCCAATGTTGCACAGCTGCAGTTAAGGCTTCTGGAAACCGAAATCGGCTGAGTCGGCAGATTCTGCAGTGGTACCGTGCTCACGCGCTCGGATGCTTTGGGAGCAGGATCCTCTTGCACCAGGACTGCCCAAGTTTCCAAGCATCAGGCGTGGTCTGGGACTGAGCATGACTTCAGACCATTGTTGTAAGTGCACCGACAGCAGAGTCGTAGGGATGCCCTAGTAGGGTTTCGCGGATATAAACTCACGATGTTTCGGAGTTCTGTGCGACAAAAGTTCGGATGCGACCCAGACGGCGCTCACACATGTTTGAGCTACAGCTCTGAGGAAAATTATTCCACAAATCATCCGAAGTCTAAACATAGTCTCACGTCCGGGCGTTCATTGAATCTCTGCAAACGTCTTGCTAGATGTCATGGCTACAGTGGATTTGGAGGTGCTACTGCTGGTACCGGCAAGCTCCGGGCAGTTCCATGGCCGGATCCCTTCTCTCCGGTGAGTGCCTGGTGCAATGAAGCCAAGGCTCTCTGGAGAAGCCAGCAGGCCCTACATTCCAATACTTGGGCACGTGACGATGTGCCTCCTTTCTCCATGAGCACCTCGGTATCAGAGGCTTTGCCCCAGCCAACAACTGGGTTGATCTAGGCACATGTTGGCAATCAGCAGACCTGCTTGCGAAGCGTGCCGCTCCACACTTCTAAGGTGATGTGGCGCAGGCCGATATGGGATGAAGCAGAACTAGTAACTAGTAGCAGATTTCTTCAGTCGAGGTCAGTGGAGCTTTGAAGGCTGAGTTTGGATTTTCAGGCATGCTTGCTGGGCTCACCGGAGCGCTTCGACTGGCGCCGAGAGAAGCTATTAGATTGGGTGCGACTGGGAAGTTACTTTGGCAGGACAGAGGCATCAGAGTTCCCTGTGGCGGTAAGCTAACTAACTTCGATTTGTTGATTTGTCTTGATTTTGCCCAGGCTGTGGCCAGGTCGCTGGTTCGGTCGCACTTTCCGAGAGCCCGAACTGTGCTTGCAGCGGCTTGTGGTCTGTCTGGTGCAGAGGCACATTGGAGGGTTCTACTTGCTTCGTACTGTGTCGTGGCAATGCCAAAGCCGAGAACCTTCCGGGCTTCCTCGACCGGACAGGTCCCAAACAGGTGTACTTTGCCCACGGCTCCATGCCCTTCAACAACTCCACTTTCGCCAACAAGACCTGCTGGTGTGATGGAGGGCCGCGCGAGGAGCCGAACTGGCCATCATGGCTGGAAGCATCACAGCTCTGCACCACCTTCTTGCAGCTCCCTTTGCTCTGGGACGGTATAGGCACGAGATTCGCTTTGCAATCGAAGAAGCGACATTGGTGGTCCAGCGGGTAGATTTCTTGTCAGGCTTCGACAAGGATGGCATCATGTGGGAGAACAATAACATTCGGAACGTGCGCACTTTCTATGGACGTGACGCTGGACATGCATATCCTTCTTTTTGTGAGTAGCTTCTGAGAGCCACGTGCCAAATCTTCAACATGGGTACTGAAGCAAGGGAGTCTGCGATTCTGCACCTCGTGACGAGGCATATTCACAGCCCCATGAGATAAAGACCACATCCCCAGCTGCTGCTCAGCCAGCCAGCCAAAGCAAGCCCTAGTCCTCAGGTTGTCTATGTTGGCAGCAAGCGACGTGCGGCGGCACACCACTGCGAACGGAGTACACTGAGAGAGACTGGCGACATTGGTGGAGCCAGACATGCACGCCTGGTCTTGCGGGCGTTGCTTCCAACTTATTACCGCCATGCCCTTCGACTTGTTTGTACAGGAGATTGCCGCAGCCTCGTCAGTTTTCAAACGCAGCTGAAGAGTTTGATGCTTAGGTCTATGCTCGGAACGTGGCGAATATCTTTTACCATGGCATCGCAACTACCAACTTGGATGTACTTGGCCAGCTTCAGAAAGGGATTTGGGGGCCTTGTGCTGTGCTTACATGCTGCCCTCACCACTACATCATTGCCATTTGCGTAAACAAACCTTCCAGTGAGCGCTGAGCCAAGCCAAGGACGTATTCGCTACTGAAGTCAGCGAGGTGTGCAGAACATCTTCCGGCTTCTCGACTCGAGTGGCTGGCAGATCTCATTCAGGTTTGGTATCCACGATGCGCTATAAAACTGATGCAGAACAATGGACTGCCGCATGTTGGCTTGGCAGACTCGATTTACCCTGGCTGCGGCGTTTCTTGTGCCAAGGTTGGCTGGACCACATGTGGAGTCACCACAGCCTGCGCAAAGGCTATCTGTTGTCTCATGATGCCATGAGCAGAGACATGGACTCTTGCGACACGTCTTGGCCGTGCCACTACGATAGACGCCAGAGTGCACTCATCTCATTTGACATGTCTTGCTCAATCTTGCTTCCTTCAGCTAGAGCAACTCCTTGAGGTGCAGTTCATGGCTGTAGGCATTTTGTGAAATACGTTCGTTTTCGGCCGGGATGTGTGTTGCCCTATCTCATGCATACGGCCTAGCCTTCACCTATCCTCACCTCACAGAAACATGCACCATCTGGGCACGAAGTCTACACCAAGGAGTGGACTCCACGGACTCCACAGACGAGGGATGCTTGCTGTGCGACGCACAGCGACCATGCTTTCACGGCAGGCTCGGTTGGTCTATCCCGCTGCGGTTTGTTTGCGTCAGCTTTGTCAAAGGTACAGTTAAGGGCTGGTTCGAGCATATGAGGGCCAACAGCACAATCAACGGCTGCTTCCGAGCAACTGCAACGAACTGAGCCCCGATCAAACGGCAGGAGCCAAAGCCGATGCTCACACTGCAGGTCAGTCGTGAATAGAGCCATAGACGTAACACCGCAGAGTTTTGTGATTCCTAGCACGATCACTACTGCTGGGACGGACTCGAATCCAGCTTGAACCAAATCACTAGATGCTGAGTACTCCCCGGATTCAGCAGGTACCGTAGCTCTCCCCTGGCAGGGTTGAAGAAGCTTGCACAAGCCCGGATTTCCACTTCTCGCGGTGGCATGCAGTCCGGGACTCGTTTGGAAGTGCTAGGTTCGCGTGCGGCAGATCACCTGGGCCCAGAGGGAAATGGAACTTTCAGCGTGGTCGAAGACAAAATGTCGTCTGAATTTATTGTCTATCTGTTCGGTGCTAGCTGCTAGTCAGTTCACTTCTACAGACTGCTCTTGCAGAATGCTCTCCTCGTCACAGCGCCTCGGTCCATCCATCCTGGAAGCATTATCCCTCGCAGGGCTTAGGCCGCCCACATATGATGCGCTTCAGACTCGCTCACTTGCTTGCAAAGCACAAGGGCAAATTTCACTGGACCTTCAAGACAGCAAAAACAGTAAAAACCAATCACTGCACCTGCCCACGAACATATTTCCATGTTCACCGTTGTTGGCTGAATGAATTTGCCAGATGCCGGCCAACAACCGAAAGTGTGCCATTTCGGCTACAAGCCAGTCGCAGTTTCTGCTTGCTGGATGCATCGCCGTGGTGTAGTGCCCGGCACGCCAAACGCTCGACTGCCCTAACATGTATGCTTGAATTTCCCAGTTTTTCAATCACAAGAACGAAGGCCCAGTTCTATGTGACTGTCGCGTGATCCTTCGTCTCATCGCGTCAATGCGACCAGGAATGCAGCAGCGTTGCACCTGTACCGCAGCGGATAGAATTGTTGGACTGTTTGGCGCCAGTCTTGTGCGGCTTCTCGCTAGCAGCACCATGCAAATGGTTTCGCGGATTGAATGCTTGTGCTGAGAAATTGTCTCGTTCCAATGGGCTGCCCAAGCGTCAAGACCTCTTCTTTCGTCAGGCTTCAGAAAGAAATGCCGCATTCTGTTTAGCAGTGCCGAAATTCTGAAGAAGGAGCATGACTGCTGATTCGGCACCCCTTAGCAGGTGACTCTAGGCTGTAGGCCAAAGGTACTCGTTGAGACCGTATAATTTCCGGACCCTGAAGGCTTGAGAGTTGATTGCGAATTGCCGGCCACAGAACAGAGTGCAACGGTGGAGGTTCAGTGACATTCCAGCACAAAGCCCTCAAAACGGAAGCTTTCGAGGAGCACGTGTGCATCAGAAAGTGTGCAGATAGCATGCGGTTCCGAGCGACATTCATTGTCCTTGACGCCGGTTCCATCTTGCGAGTGTGCTGAGCCACTGCTTTGCGGATCACTTGCCGGCACGGCTTGCATTTCTTCACCTGAGGATTGTCCTGGCCGCCAATGGCTGTCGCCGAACTCCTGCAGCTGGAGGGAGTGCCCTGGCGGCAGCCAGGTGTCAAGCAGATGCTTCTCGTGTCGTAGAGTCATCTCGATAGTTGCAGCCTCTAGTCATTTGTTTATGCCCGGATATCCTTACCACATCTGCAACGTAACTAAATGTTACTTCGAACAATGAACATGCTGGGAACAGAGTATGTAGGGCTGTAACAAACAACAATCGGGTCGAATTTCAAGCGCACGATGCATATAAGGCAGGGAGTAGGGAACTGGGTAAACTTGAGCATTTGGAAAAACACATGTGTATTCAAAGTGATTTTGCAATTGAGAGTTTGACTGGGTGTGAATCTACTAGATTGCTAGGACTTTTACTAGACAGACATTGTACTGTCGACGTAGACCTAGAGACCTAAGGACCTAGGGCTAAAGTTAGAGGGTTGATCCTGAACAGCAAAACCACTTTGAAACACTTTTCCAGGCCTAGAATCACTTGCTTACACTTTGGCGGCTGTAGAGAAGTCCAAAGGGACAGTAGGTGGTCTCACCGAGGTAACATCATAAGCTTTGTAATGCTCCTGGGAGCTGCGCCGACTCATGGTACTTGAACTCCTGCGGAGGTGCACGTGCTCGCGAGCAATTTGTCACCAGGCTGCAAGATGGAAACGAAGTTGAACCGAGGAGGTAATGGAGAGCATCATTCGGCTGGACGTACCTCTGTGTGCACATTGATTGACGAGACAAGGGTGCTATGACTAGCACTGCGAGCTCAGGTTGGTACTTCACCTCAGACTTCAAAGCGGCAATGCGCTGGATCTCCGGATGGGGCTGCGGACGCTAAGCGGAGCTGCCTCTGCGGTCGGCAAAAAAGCTGTACCTACATCGTTGGTTCGATTGGGACAACAATGAGTCTTTTAGCCTGCAGAGCCTCCCTGCATCATCCTGCATCTTGAGCTCATGAGCGCAGGTGGTTTGTGCAGATGGGCCTGGCAGGTCACAGTCTGGAACCCAGCAGAGTCTGCAAGAAGCTTAACAACTGTTTACACCGCCGTAGCAAACGATCTACACAAAAAATACATAAGGCTTCTTCAACCCTCATCATACCCTCATAAAAATTGTGAAGGGTTGCCTCTGTATCACTTCTGCAGGTAATCCAGCCGGTGCCCTGAACAACAATCAAATTCAAAGCTTGCTGGCAGCCAGTTCCTAAGCTTGCCTCAGCGAGTGGAAGATGAGTGCCACGGCGCCATTTGAGTCATGTCAAAAGGCTTTGAGAGATGACGTCCTGGTTGCCAATAGCAGGTTGGCCAGAGATCTGAATTTGAGAAGTTTGTCACCCGGTTCGTGCCGGGCTAAGGTGTTTTCTCAACCAGTTACATAGAAGCTCGAAAGGGGGGTTCTTGGTCATGAAAGGCTGTAGCAGGGTTTTTGCAACTGTCCAGGTTGCCACGCAGCTCGATGCCAGTCAGCAAACTACCGTGAACGAGGCCCGTCTTGAGACACCAAGCTTTGGCGTCCTTTGACCTCTCGCTCTGGTGAGCTGCTTTCTTCACTCCGCCACTGCGTGAAGAAGGTTCCAAACAGCAGCCGCCTACCCTCGAACCTGCTCCAAAAACCTACACATGGGTTCCGAAGCCAGGACCCTGTCCCAAACTTGCAGAGGCTATGGATGGGGTCCTGAGAAGCTTCCACAAAGTCCTCCAAGGTCCATTGCATGAGTCACATGAGTGAGTCTTTGCGGCGAGTCAGGCTTTCAAGGCTTTTGACGCGGATGGTGATGGGCATCTCTCCGCTGAAGAACTCAGGCGCAATAACTAGAATAGAGGCAGAGGGACTCAGAGCGACTCAGTGGGATCTAGGTGCTGGCATATTATTGTTTGTTTCTATTCCAGCTCGACGACTGTTTTGGCAAATGCGTGACAGCTCGTAAGTGAGCACTAAGAAAGGATTGTTTCCAGCTCGACGACTGTTTTGGCAAATGCGTGACAGCTCGTAAGTGAGCACTAAGAAAGGATTGTGACCGAGCATGTGCTCTGGAAGGCAGGGGCTGATGCAGTTTGGGGCCTCACCGGAGCAAGCAGAGCAGGCTGCGTAAGCTTGCTCTTTGATTGCCAAAGTCAAGGGCCACGTGTCGCGTTTTGCAGTGAGATGCTTGAGACACGGTTCAAAGTTTAGCCCAAAAGACCAGGATGGAGGCCGTTTGGGTTCGTTGCTTTGTTTCAGATCGTCAGCGAGTTGGATGTTGGCCGAACGGGCCAAGCTTTTGGCTCAGATTTGCAAATTGGTCTGAGCAGGGAGGTATGAGCTCTGGTTGCCCAGGTCTCCTACACCGAGTTCCTCGCTGGCATCATCAACTTGCGCTGCAAGAAGCCGGAGGTGTCGAACCCGTACACTGTACACCACACGGAAGGCAACGGACAGTCGCGTGCAGGAGCAAGACAGACTGCTGTCCATTGCCTGGGAGCAATTCCGTCCGGATACCAGCGGACTGGCAGGCGACCCAGCACCGACATCTGGCTCACAGCTCTTGCACAGTTCAATAGCAAAAGGTCGCTGGTGGGCTAGCCGGCAAACTATGGAATATGTATGCGTCCGTCCTCTAGCCAAGGTCAAGGTTCAGGACATCCAGAATGCGCTGGCCACAAGAGGTATGACTGCCAACGCCTACGAGAGTTTGACCAGCACGACCCTTTGGTGCGACTGCTTTTGCTTCGCTGAGGTTGCTGACATGCCTGATGGCTTCCTTGCAGCCCTCAACAAGGACAGTTTCAAGCTAAAACGCAGAGACACCAGAGGCAAGATGATATGTGGACAAACCTTCAACACATGCTTCGTCCCGAGGACCACACGCAGTACATTTCCTTTGACTCGTGCTTTGCTAAGACCCTGCTGCCAAGGGCACTCGATCTCCAGCTCCATTCCCAAGCTCCAACTTCGCCTGCTCCAAGGTTCAAGTCGCTGCTACTCTTTGACGACTCTGATCAATTGGCAGGGGCCTTACTGCAGCCAAAGCTTCAGCCGCCTCGGCCTTCTTCGTCCAACCAGCGACCATCAGCGACCTGA